AAGAGCTTCTTGATGCGGGTGAAGGAGGAGAGTGCAAAAGTTGGCTTAAAACTCAACATTAAGAAAACTAAGATCATGGCATCCAGTCCTCTCACTTCCTGGCAAATAGACGGGGAAGAAATGGAGGTAGTGACAGATTTTATTTTCCTGGGCTCCAAGATCACCGCAGACGGGGACTGCAGCCAAGAAATTAAAAGACACTTGCTCTTTGGGAGGAAAGCTATGGCAAATCTAGACAGCATACTAAAAAGTAGAGACATCACCCTGCCGACAAAAGTGCTTCTAGTCAAGGCTATGGTTTTCCCAGTTGCAAGGTATGGCTGCAAAAGTTGGACCATAAGGAAGGCTGAGCACCAAAGAATTGAGGACTTTGAATTGTGGTGCTGGAGGAGACTCCTGCGAGTCCCTTGGACAGCAAGGCGATCAAATCGGTCAGTCCTAGAAGAGATCAACCCTGACTGCTCTTTGGAAGGCCAGATCCTGAAGATGAATCTCAAATACTTTGGCCACCTAATGAGAAGGAACAACTCACTGGAGAAGACCCTGATGCTGGGAACGATTGACAGCAAAAGGAGAAGGGGACGGCAGAGAATGAGGTGGTTAGATGGAGTCACTGAGGCAGTTGGTGTGAGCTTGGATGGACTCCGGGGGATGGTGGAGGACAGGAAGGCCTGGAGGAATGTGGTCCCTGGGGTCGCAATGGGATTGTTGTGAGGATAAAATGGAAGGGAGTATTATGCAATACACCTTAGGTTCCCTATAGGAAAATGGCAGGATATAAATACAATAAATAAAAAAAAGAAGGTAGGCTAACTAAAAGCCAATTCAGAAAGACTATTCCCCTGTTCCCACACACTGCATGGTTACTTACCTGGCTTCTTCCTTCCATACATGTCCCATGTGAGCTGAATTATATTGATTAAATATGTGGATCCCACTGTCCCATCAAAGACACATGCAAAGCAGGTAGCAGGGGCAGCAGAGAAAACAGGCCAATGGCCTCCTCTTTAATAAGTAAATGCATCACCTCCTTACAGAGAGAAAGCTAGCATGTCAAGGGAAAGGGTTCTGCTCTGGTCTTTTCCTGCCATGCTATTTATCTCCCAGTGGGGTGTTTTGTTTAGTTTTCCAAACAGCAGGCATTGAAAAACATAAAGGAAGTGTTTGTTTGTTTGTTTAAAACATTTCTATGCCGCCCCATTGCAACAAAGCCTCGGGGTGGCTCACAACACATAATACAGAAGTAATAAAATAAATAAATACTAAATTATACAATAAATAACACCCCCAGTGCATTCTCCGCTAATTTAAAAAAAACCCTAGTTAATAAATAATTAACAGTTAAAATAAGTTTTAAATAAAAAGGTCTTAGCCTGGCACCGAAAAACAAATAACAACGGTGCCAGGTGGCCCTCTCTGGGGAGCGCATTCCATAGATGGGGCACCACCGCAGAGAAGGCCCTCCTCCGGGTGCTCACCCTCCTAATCTCATTCACAGAGGGTTCCTGGAGGAGGGCATATGTTGCTGACCTCAAGGGGCGGGAGGGCATATATGGGTGCAAGCGTTCCTTTGGATAACCAGGTCCCAAGCCATTGAGGGCTTTATAGGTCATAACCAACACCTTGAATTGGGCCTGGACTTCAATCGGGAGCCAGTGGAGCTGACGGAGAACGGGGGTTATATGAGAACAATGCCCAGTCCCCGTCAGCAACCTGGCAGCTCTATTCTGCACCAATTGAAGTATCCAGACTGTCTTTTTTTATTATTATTATTATTATTATAACATTTCTATGCTGCCCCTTGCCGAAACCTCGGGGCGGCTTACAACACGATAAAGGTCTTCAGGTCTTCCACAGAGAAGAGCATGGGAAGCACTCCCAAAAAGCACTCTTCTCTCTTGGGCCTCTTCTTTGAATGGCAGCTCAGATAGCGTCAGGATGGTGTCTCATCTGCCTTGCAACTAGAATGCTCCTACAAGGAAATTGCAAGGTTTTACACATCCACCAATTGATGCCTGCAGGGGCGATGACGCTTTGCCTGTCAATGAGCCATCACCCCGAACGCGGCACTGCCCAGAGCCAGGAGCCCGTGGCACCTTCGCCTGCCAGCCATTAGGGCTGAGCTGCCAAGAGGCGGAAAAAGCCACACGAGCAGGAGCCATGTCTCGAATTTCTAGTCTGAATTCTCCCAGTGTCTGCAGACACAAAAGCCCTCGTTTGACCCTCCCTGCACCACACATGTAGGATGGGATGTATCGAGCACACGAAAGGAACGCCTCCTTCAGATAAAGGCTCTCAGGCAGAACAGCCATGCACAGCCGGGATCAGCATGGATTTGTGCCTGCGGGACTCAACTTTCAGGCTTCTCTGGTAGAAGTGTGGAGGCTTAGCATGGTGGTTACGGAAAGACAAAGGATTAGCTGTTCCAGTGCAGAAACAAAGACAATAGGAGGCAGCATCTATTTCCCAGAGTCTTGTGGAAAGCCAGTAGGGATGTTCCTGGAGAGGAACCCACTCGGAACAAGCAGGAGGTATTTCTACTTGAAGCACCATCATAAGCCTTTTCTTAGATCTGCCACTATGTAGCTAAAGATGCCAGAACATTAAAAAATAAAAATGAAAAGGGTGCAGCCTTCCCTGGCGCCCTCCAGATGTGCTCGCCTGCAACTCGCATCCCCTGCAGGGTCTCAGCGTAGGAAAGGGTCTCTGCAAAACCATTTCCAACTTCATTCTGCAGCAGATAAGCAACGATGCCTGCCAGAGGTTTTAGTCCACAACTCCCATCTGCCCCAATCAGCAGGATTCATTATTATTTCTTGAGAATGCATTTCTGCACTGAAGCCAGCAAAAACAGTTTACAAAAAATGGAGAATCAGCACGGCTAATGGTCGGGAGGTATGGGAATTGTAATCCAAGCCCTCTGGAAGGCCCCAGGTTCTCTGGCCATGCGGGACGCCTCTTGTGGCACTTTGAGAACAAGCCTCAGGGTCCAGGCAAATCGGAGCCAGCTCCATGTTCACTGATGCCCACAGGTCCTTAACAATGGCACTTAAGAAAAAAATGTCCAGAACCTGAAGCAACCGGTCCAGATGTCCCAACATAGCAAGCAAGCTTTCCAGTTCTCCAGAACCCTTCTTATGCGTGCACGCTAAGCAAAGCGAGGGCCTGGAGCGGAGGGAAAAATGCTCTCAGGCTGTTGCAGCCACGGCGCCTGAGAAAAGAATACCATCCGCACCACGCGCGCGGCCCGGCCCTGCACGTCAGCACCTTTCGCAGTGCAGGTCATGATTCAGGATCCAAGCTCTGCATGTTGTTCCCAAGTAAGAGGGCAGGGCGCAGCATTGTAGCCTTGGCGTGCTTACTCACAAGGAGGCATTTAAGTCTCATGGAACTTAGTGGGCCATTACTGGCGAGTCACAGAGTGCAGATCGTCAGGTTGAGCTACACTTCCCAGTTATAATGCTACGGATTATTTTTTAACGGGCTTTGCAACCCACTAAGAAGGCAACTTGCTGGGTTTAGGCTGACTGCACTTCATTTTCCAAGGCAACGATCTTTCGAGCGCATTGCATGCTTTAGATCGCCCATGGGATTGAAAGCACGGAGAGAGTCCTGCAAACAAACTCCAAGCAAACTTCCAGAGCTAGCCCCATTTTCAGGAGGAAACTCCTACCAATGAATCACTGGAATGAGTTTAGAGTGGGGAGAAAGAGTGTTGAAAGCCCAGATCTTACCTTTTTGGGATCAGCGTAGGTCCCAAGTCCAATGACCGGGATGCTGTTTCCGTCACTCAGCCTCAGACGGTGGTTTTCAGGGGTGAAACGGGTCATCATGGTGCAAAAGAGAAACTTGGTTTTTTAAAAACCAATTTTATGGGGGTTTGCACAGCGAGACTCCTCAAGAAAGACTAGCCTTTTGTGTGAGCCAACGTGCTCCGGGCGAGGGCCCCTCCTGTCGGCAGGGGGGGCAAGAGAGCAGCGAATGGCCGGCCACCATCGGCGCGGCGCGGGACCTGCTGTGGGGCCAGAGCACGGTTTGCCATCTCTTAAGTACAAGCCCGGCGTCGAAGTAGCTTTTGGGGATCTAGTGGGACGCAGGGATTGGCGGGGCGAGCGGCCTCACCCGCCCCCGGGGCAGACCCGGGACCGCCTGGGGAGGGGGCTGGTGGGCTCGCTCCCTGGAGCAGCCGCTGAGGTGGGAGCGCCCGCGCTCCGAGGGGCCCTCCCGGCGGAGGCGCGGAGGGGATGCCGGGGCATTGCCGTGGCGATGGCGGGCAGCGCACAGCCCGCTTGGCCTCGCTGCTCCCGGGCCAGGACGGGTCGCTGCTGGCGTGCCACAGCCGCGCATGACCGCGGAGCCCGCTCTCGCTCGCGCCCCGCGCAGCGCTGGGGCGAAGCGCGCGTTATGCCCCGCTCGAGGCCGCTTTCGCGCGGCCGCTCGGGAAGGGTCGGAGGGACCCGGGCGCCAGGCCTGCACCCCAGCCTGCGCCCGCCCCCGGTGCCCCTGCGATGCGCCGGAGCGCAACGCCCGGCCGGCTTGGGGATCGGAAGGGCACCGGGTTGGGAAGGGCAGCTGGATGCCCTTTCCTGGGAATAAGTCCCATGGAAGCCTCTTGCATAGCGCTTATGTGAAAGAAAGAAAGACAAAGGGCAGTCAGTGTTTTGCAGATAAGGGGGTTGCTGAAGGGCATACAAGTAGTCCCTTGCAAATGGGAATCTGCTTTCCCAAGTCCGGCTCGCCCGCCGCTGGTCCGGCAGGACAGCTTCTGTCCACCATGTGCCCTTTGCGAATCCATGTAATGAACGCACACGTTAACGTGCCCTTTGTCCTAGCGAAGGCTGAGCCCAGCGGCGCTCGAATGCCAATGTCAAGTCGATCCAGAGGAAGCCCGACGAGGCGGCCCCGCGCACACGGCGCGTCGCGGGAACGGCCTCTCGAGCTGGGCGGCTCTTCCTTTGTCCTCTGCTCCGACTCTCCGCCGCCGCTCGCTCCTCACAGCGCTCGTGCCATCCTTGCTTTCAGGAGCCCGTCAACTTACGGCGCTACGCTCTGCATGTCTACTCCAAAGTAAACCCAGGAAGTTGCATAGGATCTACCCCAAGGAAATAGGTATAGGATGGCAGCTTTGTGCTATAGTCCTGTGCTCACGTATGCCATTGGACTTACTTCTGAGTAGACGTGGCTAGAATCACACACTTAGGGCACAGTCCTATTGATGGCATCCTCAGCGATTGCAAGACCCCAAACTTGGGGGTGATCCTGGTCTCCCCATCCTGCTGCCCTGCACAATTCTCTAGATAGGCTTCTTTGCCCGCCCAACAATGACTTTGCAGAGGGGAAGAAGAGGGAACTTGGGGCAGGCGGGGGGGGGGGGCGCCAGTGCGTTGCTTTCTGCACCAGCAGCAATGGGTGAAGGGTGGATCTCAGATTCCGGCTTCCAAGGTCGGGATGAGGAGGAGGAAGATTCCCATCTCCCCTTCTATGGTCACCACGTTATCTCTGACCTCAAAAGGGGAATGCTCAGCATCCTGCTCAGTGCCCATTCTCAGCAGTGGCTAGGACCGCAGGATGGCACCTCTAATGCCTTTCAGAATATCCAAGTAAAAGTCCATCCTCTCCAGGGAAACTTCAGTCAGCTCATGCTTTCTGCCCCACATTTATCTGTTACTGATACATTATGGATGTTTCTAAAGCCACCTTTTCATACAGCCAGGGCAGTTTACAAAGAAGAGCAAAATGGCCAAAATGTGAATAAAACATAAGCTTGAAGACACAAGGTTGATTCTGATCTCAGACCAGGTCTGAATTCTGATGTGAGGTACCCTGTTGCAGTGGTCCAAACCCTACTCAGAAGGGGGGTGCAGCAGCACTCCTGTCCTGTTTGTGGGATCCCTGGTATGGCAGGGCTCTCCTTATGTCCTTCAAGTCATTTCCAGGAGCAGCGCTGAGGGATTGTTTCTCTCTCCCATGGCAGTTATACGATGCTTAGGCCCCCTGTTGGCCATCAATCACATGAGACTGCTGGGGAACCTGATCCTGAGATACGGACTGAGGTGTCACCTGTCTGCAGATTCACCCATGAGACATAGGTGAGGCCGTGGGTGTTCCAAGTGCAGTGGTACCTCAGGAACTTAATCCATTCCACGGCTCTGGTTGCAACCCGAATTGGTCACGAGCCAAGTCCAATTTCCCCATAAGGTTCAATGTAAATAAGGTTAATCTGTTCTGTAAATATTTTATTTTAATTACAAAAATTTGAAACAAAGAACAACAAAGTAACAAAGGACAGTACAGTAGAGAACACTAACCTAGGTGTGGGGAGGTTAATTGCTTGGAGGGAGAGTTCCTCTCCATAAGGACATCGGGGAGATGTCCTTCAGGGGTTTCCTCTCTCCCTTGTCTTTTAGCTGCAGGGCCAATTTTGGCAAAAGATCTGCACATTCTCATCACCTTCATTACCGCTCTGCATGTTCTTTTTACCACCATGCTTGCTCTGCACTGTCTTTGGGGCCTTTATTCAATGAGCTTCACAGCAAGTGACCGCAAGTCTGACTGCAACCGCGAGCGGGGAAGACGGCTACGATTGCGATCGTGTTCATGCAGGAGCATGACCACAATCATGGTTGCCACCTGATGCGGAGTTCGTGGCCTGAGGCAAAATTTTTCCGAAATTTCTGTTCACGACCCGATTTGGTCATGAACTGAGCTGTTCATGAGCCGAGGAACCGATGTAAATGTCTGGAAGTAGTAATCGATGGGGTTGCAGAGTGAGTTTTGCCTGAGCACATCTGAGATAGGAAACAACTGCAACTTAATCGCTATGAAAAACTTAACTGGCAACTTAAACTATATGCAAAATTAACTGGCATCTTCTTTAAGAAAGCCCTGCCTCAATGCAGCAAGACGAGAGAGGAGAAAGGGACAGCAAAGTGATCTTACCAGATGACCAACCCTGCAAGTCACACAGGCCAGATCTGGCTTTCCTAGTCTAATAAAAACCGCAAGCATTCAAAAGCACCAGGACAAAAAAGACCACCTGGGAATCCTTCCCCGCCTCTTATATTTTTGTTATGTCAGCTATGATGCCCATTTCTACCTTTGAAGTTTTTGTCTTAAAATGCTACTTCCACCAGGTGGGTTCTGTGCTGCTGAAAGCCTAGCCCTCTCAGCTGGCCATTTTCAGTGAGTCACAGGTGCTGACTCGCTGAAAGCACTTTGGACTTCTGGCTCACCCACTATCAACAGTATTAGTATGATAAATATTTTATAGCCACTGAGGGTGCTAACCCCCTATTAGGCTATTCTAGAAGCCCCCATTAAAGGTTTGTCCTTTTCTTTTTCCTTCTGCAAATTGGGGTTTTCAGAGCTTCCCATTACCTCCTTTTTGTGTCCTGTGCAGTATCACTTTGGTTGCCTAAGCAGCAGCTTGCAGAGACAACACTGTATTATTATTCCAGATTGTAGGTTGGATTTAGGAGGTGGGTACAGGGAAGCAAGAGGCAAGTGACAACACATGTGGGGGGATCTTGGCTTTCCAAAGTTCAAAGCGCTGTTGCAGTGTCCCTGGTTCAGTCCCTCGCATCTCTACAGGAGTGGGCAACTTGGGGCTCTCTAAATGTTTTGTCCTACAACATCCCTAGTCAGTGTAGCATCGTGTAAATTGTAGGCCAAAACCCTTGGACGTCCACAAGTTACACATCCCTGACCTAAAATGACGAGATAGCACCAAGCTCAACACTCCATACTTATAGTTGTGTATGGGTTCTTTCCAGGAATTGTGACCCTCCAGGTAGGCCTCTGTGTCTAACCAGCATTTCTGGTAAGATGTTTTAGAGCATGGGTCCTCAAACTACGGCCCGCAGGCCGGATCCAGCCCACCATGCTGATTTATCCAGCCTGCCGTAGAGGTTTTGGACTCGCCACGTGCGTGCGCGCGCGCATGGCAAAGCAGCAACTTGCTCGTGTGGAGATCATTTTGGGCTCGCTCGGAGAAAAGGATCTCCTTGTGAGCAAGCCGGTGCCTCACCATGCACACACTCAATGGCAGCTTGCTCACAAGGAGATAATTTTCTCTGAGTGAGTCCAAAACAATCTCCTTGCGAGCAAGCTGGTGCCTTGCTGAGTGGCAGCTTGCTCGCAAGGAGATTGTTTTGGACTTGCTTGGAGAAAACGATCTCGGCGTGCTCCTGCCCCTCCCTCGCTGTGCACTTGCACACGCACCCACCCCCAGCCTGGCCTGCACCCCCCGCCCGCACCACCTTGGCAGCCCACGCCCATCACTGGCACCGTTCAACTGGCCCCCTGTTGAAAAAGTTTGAGGACCCCTGTTTTAGAGCCTGGAAAAGGTGGTGTTTAACTGTCAAAGTGAAAGAAGCAAGAGTTCCTTTTGTGTATTTGTGCTGTACTACTATACCACAGTGCCACCTAGAGGTTATATAATGGAAGAACAGAAAGGTCACAACAGTTTAACAGCCCTGTGTAGAAAAACTCATTTCATCTCAGAGCCAGGGCGATCACAGCCACTCAGAGAAGGCAGCGTTGATCAGACAGATGGACAAATAATGTGGTCTAATGCAAGACAGCTTCTTATGCTTCCCTTGAAACAAAAACCCAACAAACCAAGGACACAGCCTCTGGCCACCCAAATAATAGCCACATAAGAACTGGGGAGGCTCAGCAGGAGTGACACAAGGTTGTGGGTCATGTTGAACAGAAGAGCAAAATCAAGAGGGATCATTTTGTTTGGAGATGATGGAGGCTGTGGTCTAGAGGTTGGGAGAGTACCCAAAGGACAGCTATAGTTGGCTGGAAGCAGAAGGGGAACACTTCTGCTCGAGGGTGCAAATTCACTGCAACGTTTTGTAAAAACTGAAGAACAACTAAGTAGTGCAGTATTTAGTCAAGCTGCTGATCCATGGAAAGATGTGATTACAGAAAATTATAAGTAAAACACTGACACAAAACAGAGATAAGCTTAAAATTATTAAGTTGAGATGATGTGG